TGTACATTTAAGTACATATCATTATGTAAGCAAACCTCCCTTTCCGTAACAAATTAACCTTTTCAAAAGTCTGAGTACAGTGCAAACACAAACTTGAAGCATGTTAGCAATCGCATATAGGCCTTCGCGCATTTTTTTTTTCACTGGGCATTTGAAAGTGATAGTTATAACTAAAACAAGAACACTGAAATATTTTCTTCAACATCCACACGCCTCGAAATGGATGAAATATATATCCAAAAGAATTGATTAGCTCAATCACAATATATCATTTTCGCAAGCCATACGCTCATGTATTTTAATGAGATCTGAATCAATGAATCGTGGTATAATCAGGTATGATCTAAAACATATATCTGTCTTAAAGAGATCTTGGACACAGCCACTGAAGCGACCGTTGCTTCACAAGAACATATTGTGCAAACATTGATGGCGTATATTTCTAATACATTTCCACTATAGTTGAAATAATGTCAAGGGTGATCAACTTCAGAACAGGCCAAGTTGTGTTGCACACACGAATGACGTCTTCTCATTCGTCATTAATTTGTAGGCCTATTAATTATATAGGTTATTCAAGAGGGGAGACTACCAAATCTACTAATCTACATTTTCCCTAATCGCTTATCTAAATGGCAGCCTATGAATTCAGCAAAAAGTAACAGGTTAAATGTAGAATTTAGCACAAATCTCGGTAATACCCCATTTGGCTGATCGAAAGAACATGCTGCCACGTGCTTTCTAAGATACGTCTATCACAGTCAAACAGTTCTGACAGAAGAAAGGAGGCAGATCCTTCACGACTGAAGTTGATCCGGGCCTGACGAAGGGCCTCTGCACAACGGCCGTCGCAAGAACACTCCAGTTCAATAACGCTCGAAAAAGCACAGAAACATTGGAATGACTTGGAACCTTGTTACCCTATTGCTGATTAGCAGTGCCAGCTGTTGCGCTGTCACGCCTGTCACCAAAGCCATTATTAATGCCAGCCCGAATGCATTAACGTTGCTGCCGACACGTTTTTGCTGAGGCCTCAACGTTGGCGATTGCCGTTATCCGAACTACGCCTGGGAGGGCACTGCTTTTTAGCGCCGGATGCCCTTATTATACAGACTTATCACGGCTGGAACTGCTTGCCAATTATTTGGTAAATGAAAACGCATGTAATATAATGGCAACTGTAGACTAATTTGAATTAACCTACAGTAACTCCTTGTAAAAGAATCCAACTTAAGAGAAAAAAAAAAACTACTATTATACTTCCCAGACTGTTACTAAGCTCTTTTTTTTTCTTTTTTTTATGTGGCTGCTAATGAAATTTCGATCCGCCCTTCCTGACACGGACAAAAAACAGCGCATCAAGCAGCCTTCTCGCTGACCCTTCCTGGCTGCTTGAAACCGAGGTGCAAGGCCGTTCGCTTTGCCCTGCATCAGCAACGTCGGTCGTCAAGCGCCCATTTAATTACAGGGCTGCTCATAAGCAGCTGACCCTTCGTGTGGCAATCCTTGCAGCCTCGACTCGCAGCGCCTTACACCCTCCCTGCGCAGCACAGCGTAGTCTTGAAGCCAAGGCCAAGTCCATTGTCCACGAGGCTTTTGTTGCACTCAAACAGAGAATAACATCTTCCCAAATCAGGAAAGCGCAGTGAAACGGGAAATAAGGCTATGACCATGACCCACCTGTGTCAACGGCGCGTATCTTTGGTCCGTCATCATGCAGGTCCACCATGACCACAGTAACGAGAGGACGTTCACAAGACCTCCCGCTGTGTCTCCGTCGTCAGGCACCGAAAAAAGCAGTCAGGAGCCACAAAGAGCCTCTGGGCTGTAAGCTTCGACAGGAGTCTCACCTGCAGCACCTTCAGTCTCAGACACTCGGATCACAATATGGCTGCCGCCAGCGCCATTGTCTGAATGCCAGGGGTCGCCAGCGGCTAACTGGCACCGCATCGACACGACCGCCGGCAGGGTCTTTGTGTTCGCGTTCTAGGAGCGTCTTCCTCATGTGACGCCAAAAAGAAAAAAAAAAAAACAGAGGGGAATAACAGACAAATGCTAGCTAAATAGGAAGGCCCAGGGCGTCCGGCAACTGACAGCCATTTTCGAGACTGCGCAGTGGGCGGCCATGGACACTTTGCGGGTGGGAGTGGGCGGCGCCCCCAAGTTAAGAAGCTCGAGCTTCAAACACAACATAAGGTATGTCTGCCCTCTCTCGCACGCCCACGGAAAGCACAAATAACAAATGTAATGACGATAAGGACGAAGTGGTGTCGAACAGCTGATTATTGATCGAGCCCTTATCAATCCCCCCCCCCCCTTCCCCGTCTCTTCACTAGCACGCACACAAACTTCTCGGAGAAAACTCTTCTCGTACAGCTACGATCCCTTCGGAAAAGGTCGCCAAATCTGTATAAGAAAATCGTAAATCGGGGTCACCCGACAATTTTAGAAACTGCGTGGCAGACAGTAGGTTATGCATGATAACCTCGTAAAGTTTGAA